CTCTGTGATGACGTTCCAGCTTCATTAAAATGTTTCGCGATTATGCATTGTTCTCAAAAGAAAGGTTACTTGGTTGATTTCATCCAGTACTGATCAATATTGAAATAGAATAATGACGATTGTTTATCCGAGTTAAAGCAGACAATGAAAGTAAATATACTGATATAAATACAAAAGAATATCCTGAGTTATAGCAGTGAGTCTAATTAGTCAGGTGCTTCCGTATTCATCCAAGTCAGGGAGTAGAACATTAAAATCTGTCAGTCATAGACATATAAATTAATCACACCATTAAACAGTCAATACATTCCCACGACTATATCTTTTTCATTCAAGTTAGAACATAAGTACGTAATTGAGTAATTAAATTCATGAGAATTAATGACATTGGATTAGCATGGCACAGCAGTTCAAATGGATGTTTGATTAAATTATCTGAGAAATGTCAACAATCCATCACCACAATAGTATGAAATATCCTCATTTATTTTGAAACATTTCTCAAATTTTCTAAAAGCTAAACCACTACATAGCAATGCAAGCGAAACCTGAAATGACTACACCCTTATTTGTAGTTTAGATAAAGCTGTTTCACTGAAGGATCAATATACTATAGACCCAAAGATGCAGCGAAATTGCTTGTATTTGTTGAGCGTACTACCAAGTGATTTAATCAGCGATTGAGTAAACATCTCTCTGTCTATAAGCAAAGATGGATAGTGGCTAGCAGTGGAGTCGAGGACGTGCATTTCACTCTATTTGGGACACATCAACTGGATATACCTGCATCCGAGAGTTGATGTTCACTCCGGGATACACGTATGCCGTGGGGCACCAATCAATTTCAATTAAAATAACCAATACAAATGAGCTTCTCTTCGTGATTAGGAAAGGCCCAGACAAAGACTATACATAACTCTATCTTGGCGCAACTGGTTGACACTGATTATGCGATAGATAACACCAAATTATTTGTAGCGATACATAGTATACTTACTCTTTTCCCTATCGCATTCAATATCGATAACCCTAATTCATGTGTCAAGAAAAATCTCGTGACACTTATGTGCTCACCTTTGCCAGATACGACTTACTAAATAATTTTACTAACTAGAGACAGTCAAACTAAGACGTGGCTTCAATCAATAAGGTCGACTCTTGATTATGGGATCACCGATGGTTGCAAATACGGCGAACCTTTTTATTTATTGATTGGAAACGTCAGCAGTATATCTCATGACACCAAGTACACTACAGAAATCGTATCCACTGGTCGCAAACTGCCAATTCTTGTCTGTTCGCTTGTAAAGAAGAGAGATGTTTGTTTAAACATTGTTATATTCCATGATGCTGTATAAGTGAACGAGACATCACGATTGCTCAGTGTGCGGGTGACGAGACACTAACCTTGCCTAAAGCTCAGGCCTCAAGAAAATAGAAAATAAGTCAGTAAAAGCATTATATTCAATAGAATCTAGACGTACAAGTGACTCCGTTCGCACAAGAATCCTCTTAGAGGTTTTGTTTCGTCCAAAAGACGAATAACAGCTGAAGCCCTGCATATATAGACAAACTCAAACAACCGACGTAGAGGAGATGGAATACAATTAGTTTCCCGATAACAATTAGTAATTAATAGATAAATTTGATTAGTATCAGAAGGGGTTTTGTGGAGATTGTAGTAATTTCAACAGTTGAGATCATGAGTCAATTGAGGCTAGACCACCATGGAAAACCTGGAAACACTGGACGGTCATTTCATCCTAGCATGGAACTCCTCATCAGTGCGCATCCACGAACCCGCCCTCCATGGAATTCGAAACAAGGACCTACCACTCTCACGCCAGGCGCTTAACCAACTAAACCAATGAGTCAGAGTCAAACGGTGTGAATGTCTAACTTCAACTAATCGACGAGATCAAGCGACACATCCACCATTGTCATCAGTGAGTTACTATCTTCCAACTGACCTAGTTGAACTCCACTGGTCACTGCTGGGGAGTCCCATACTAGGACGAGACGGCCGTCCAGTGCTTCCAGGTTTTCCATAGTGATCTAGTTTCAACTGACTCATGATATCAACTGTTGAAATTACTACAATCTGCACAAAACCCCTTCTGATACTAATCAACATATGCTCACTGGTCACTGGGTTCAAGGTGTATATCCTGATGTTCTAGTGAGAAGCAGTGAGCAGTGTTCAACCGAGTCTGTTGTGAACCAGTAACTCTCCGAATACAATGGTGGATGTGTAGCTCAATTTTGTGGATTAGTTGAAGTTAGACATTCACAACGTTTGACGCTGGCTCATTGGTTTAGTTGGTTAAGCGCCTGGCGCGAGACTGGTAGGTCCTGGTTTCGAGGAGTTCCATGCTGGAACGAAACGGCCGTCCAGTGTTTCCAGGTTTTCCATGGTGGTCTAGCCTCAATTGACTCATGATCTCAATTGTTGAGATAAATTTGAATTATGTTTCACTTCTTTTAATTCATCTTTCATTATGTGAACAATAAATAATATTTTTCATTTGTTCTAATCAATTAATTTGTCAAACATACGATGAACGACCCACTTGTTTAACACAACAACACAAATTTACAATTACTTGTTTAGTCATCTCCATTTTATGTATGCTGCAACATGCTGAATTCATGATATCTATCAAATTACCGAATTGCATCAACAATCATAATCAGAGGGGAAATGAGGTCAGTAAATTTTTATTACATCAAATTTACATAAACACACACATGCTATCTTATCACAATTTCCCATACTTTTTCATACCAAGTGACTTGTACGCACACAACAAATCCCACCTACAGCATTGATGACATGATTGGACAATTTGTTAAGCATACGATTGACCTGTGAACCATGTATTCACATTTGATAACTTAGATTGTCTTTTTTGAAAAAAACTTGGACTAGACTGACGATCAAAACTTCAGATCTATTTTGCGTCCTCGTTAATCGTGTACAATACGGTGGACTTAGTGATGTTTTGCAGGGAATCTTAGTGAACTGTATAGTTCAGATACTTCGAGGTCGACGTAAAACAAATACAGTAAATCACCTTTCCTCCTCAGTATCATCATATATTTACAGTATTGAAGCTATCACCATTCTTCCCATCATAAAAGATAAATACAACTACTATTGATACAAACTCCGACTGTAGCTCTTCTACAAATACTGTAGGTCCCAATTCCGCGTAAAGGAGGAGAGATCGGTATCGGGTTAGCGACCCCATCCTGTAGAAAACTAACTCGCTCAAAAAACTATAGCCAGAAAAAATAATTCAAACCATTTAAACTCTGCCCTGGCAGTTAAAACGTCCTCATTTAGAAGCACTATGACGCCTCATGGTGAAAGCCGAGTTCCTTCGGAAGTCACGAGGCCGATGCCCCTTCTAACAACCAGAGCAACAATTTTTATAGGTACATGGAACGTCCGGACAATATGAGAGACCGGGAAGATCAGCCAAATGGTAACGGAAATGAGGAGATACAACTTGGCAGTACTGGGAATCAGAGAAACCCACTGGACCCAAGCTGGACACCAAATACTAGATACGGGAGAGATGCTGCTATACTTCAGTGACGAAGAGGAAAGTGCTCTACACTCTCAGGGAGTTGCTCTAATGCTGTCCAAATTAGCACTAAATGCACTTGTAGGATGGGAATCTCATAGATCCAGAATCATCAAAGAATCATTCAAAACAAAAAGGGAGGGGATCACAATGAACATTATCCAATGTTATGCACCCACCAATGATAGCAGCGACGACATTAAAGATCAATTCTATGAGAGGCTGCAACCAATCATAGAGAAGTGCCCAACAAAGGGTCTCACTATTCTGATAAGAGATCTAAACGCCAAAGTCGGAATGGACAAGACAGGATATGAAGATATCATGGGACGATATGGACTGGGAGAGAGAAACGAAAACGGGGAAAGATTTGCAAATCTATGTGCATTCAACAAATCGGTCATTGTTGGCACAAAATTTCCACACATACGTATACACAAAGCTACATGGATCTCACCGGACCACACCACAGAGAATCAGATAGATCATATTTGCATCAATAAAAAATTCCGAAGGACAATGGAAGATGTAAGAACCAGGAGAGGAGCTGATATAGCGTCAGATCACCAACTAGTTGTGGCCAATTTAAAACTGAAGCTAAAGGAGAATTGGAAAACTGGACAAACAGCACTACAAAGGTTCAATACAGCCTTCGTTTGAGATACTAATAAATTCAACGAATTCACGATAGCTCTCAACAACAGGTCCCAAGCCTTACAGGATCTACTGAAGGAAAAAGAAACAACTATGGAGGACAACTGGAAAAGTATCAAAGAAGCGTTAACTTTAACATGTCAATAGGTTCTGGGCCTCAAGTAACATCATCATAAGGAATGAATCTCTATAGAAGCACTGTAGATCGAAGAAATGAAGAACAACAAGACAGCAATTAACAACAGCCGGACAAGAGCAGAGAAAGTTCAAGCAAAAGCTGAGTACATAGAAGCAAACAAGCAAGATAAGGCGAGCATTAAAACCGACAACAGAAACACATGGGGGAATAGGCAACGACAGCGGAAAAAGCTGCAAGAGAAGGAAATATGAAACAGCTTTATGATACAACGAAGAAACTAGCAGGGAGATATAGTAAACCAGAGAGACAGGTCAAAGACAATGAAGGCAGGTCAATCACTGAAATTCAACAACAGCGGAACAGATGGGGAGGTTACGAAGAAAATAAAAAATCCTAAATCAAACCATCCAGCTCAGAGAACATAACACCACTGTAAATAAGGGTATTCAAAGTGAATTACCTATGTAATACCACTTTACTGTGTATTAACGTCGTTTCGTAATTGATCGAAACAAATCCGAGATCTATTTCTTATAAACAGTGATATCATTAGTTCAATTTATGTGTCCTATAGTTTATATGATTAATAAAGAAACTTGGGGAAAAAACAACCGAACAAAAACTTTTCAAAGGTTCTCTTAATTAATTAATTAGTTAATTGAATCACATCATAAATTAGTAATTAATAGTAACTTCTCATTAAACAAACAACTTATCAAGCAAGTAGTAACTAGAAAAATAAAAATTTCTTTCACTAATGTTAGTTGATAAAAACAAAATTATAAGTAAATAATAATGTTTTATGTTACAATTCAAAAAAAATGTTGCTACAAATCTGTTTTTTCTACTATTCCTTGTCTCTGTTTAAGTGTATGCATGTGAGTAAACTGTGTACAGTGTTAAATGGTGAACAGGGTACCATGTCGACAGACGTTGAACGTAATAAAGAAAGTGAGAGATTAAAGGAACTTTTATTTTCAAACAGAACATCAACTAGATAAACCATCACCACTTTTACTAGTAAGAACATTTATCTAATTAATACAAAATCAGTTATCAATAGTAATGATAACGAGGGAGTAAAGTAACTGTTTTTCTATTCTATGTATGTGTATATATGTTTACAAGCGGATGTGTTGAACGAAAAAACGAACAAAAACAGTAGAAATCTAGTAAGTAAATGAAGTGAGCAGAAAAAATCAATCAGTTCGCTCACAATGAATGAGGATACAAACAAGAAGTTACATTATGGATTTCTGAGATTTAGTTGATTCTGTTCGCTTTTTTACTTACAAAAGCGAATTTTTTAATCATAAAATACTTATCAATAATAATTTAATAAACAAAATTCATACAACAAATGTAAATATATACATGAGTAAAGCAGAGATAGCACCAGCAGCGGGTAAGGTTACCAACCATGCAATTAGAATATTACGAAATATACCCCAATTAACATTGTCTCTAGAACGTGCACGTCCAACAAATACGACTGAACCAACTTTACAATGTGTAGTTGATATTGGTAGACCAATTTTACTAGCAATTAATACAGTTAGGGCTGAACCAATTTCAATACAAACACCACTAAAAAGAAAATAAAAGCATAATGATACCAATGTTAGCAATAAAAAAAACAATCCCGTGAAAATGTATAGTAAAGAAGTGGTGAGTTTTGTTGAACTTTCATTTTCATACAGCTACGCCCGATATACATATAGTGTATACAAACGAAACTAATTCAACTACTTCTACAAACGCCGTACTGACAATAGTTGTGTTCAATAGTGACAAATTCACAGAAGTTTCAATGAGGTGTGATCAGTCAAGTGTGAGACAGTTACCTATCACAGGAAATGGAAGGTAGTTGCATAATATCGCTAATTGATTGCAGTTGGTGTAAACCATTAGATACAAGCTCAGGGGTCTAAAGGTTAAGTGCTCATCTCAAGAAATGCAGTTCTTAAGCTTGATGCTCGGTGGGGTTAAGGATGTTCATTAACTAGCAGCTCCATTCTGAGATGAACCTACGGTCCATCCAGTGCTACCTGGGTTTCAATGGTTTCCTAACTAAAATCACCCCGTGGTGTGAGCTATGAACATTTAACGATCTCCATAAATTCCTTTAGTAAAAATAAAAAACAGAAGAAAAGGGACATAACTGTCTCCACATCTTGATCGCTGAATATTAACTAAGTGACTGATTTAAAAAATATAGTATCTTATTGAGTATTGTATACCGAAAAAAACTAAAAAAAATACTAAACACTCGTTATAATTTCACTTTTTTTGAATCCCATCAGATGACTCTCACAGTCGACTTAATAACACAAAGTACACTTTAAACAAGGTGACGCTAGAATGCCACTTTAATGTGCACTGTCAGAATCAACTAAGATGTCGATTAATGAAGAAAAGTCCTTGTTTGGTAAGGATTTGCATCGATTACATACCACTACCACAGTGATCAAATAGTCTTATTTAAATTCGCTGTTTTTACTTACTGTTGGTCCATCAGAGAATGAATTTTATAAGCTAAAATAAAGTGTCAGTTGTGAAAAACGATTTCATAGATCAAGCAAATAAAAACATTCTAATGAATATGAAAAACGAAATATACATTACAACTAAAACTATTCAAATTCATTGAAAGATGGTATTAAACACATAAAATACCCACAATAAACATATTTCTGAGCAAAAAAATCACTAACCTACCTGGAAGGTGATATTTTCGTTAGATCTTCACCTAATGTTTGAATAACTCGTCTACCCCATATCCAAAGACCAACTGATATACCAACACCACCATAAACCAAAATCCAAATATCTGTAGTTTTCGATGAATCAACTGATTGTGTTGTGGCAATAAGCCATAAACCAATCAACGGTCCGATAGCATTACTGTATAAAAATAATTCATAAAAAACTGACACATTAAGTGAACTGTTTAAAGATGAACTTCACGTATTATAATGGGTTAGTAGTGAAACAAGTTTACGATTATTATTGCTTTGAATGGGTAGTCTGCAAATCATTATGACTATTATCTTTCCTCATGAAAACTTTCTATGACTCCAATGTTCACCACGGTATCCTTAAATAATTCAAACTATAGGTTTCAGCTTAAAAATTAACCGGATGGATGACGGCATATAAACATTATGTTAGCTTAGCCTAGAGTGGTATCATACTTTCATATACCAGCAAATTCACAAAAAATCCGTAATTCGAATCAAACGTACAAGTATCTCATTTCATTTAAGAAAGCTTTAGACCCTTACATATTCCACATATCAATGCTACGAAACATAGTTCTTATTGAATATACTTTTTTGTTTAAAACTGTGATATTACAAATGGTGTATGAAAAGAAGGACATTCATACATGTCATTTATTTTATGTAAAAAATGTGCAAACGTACAGGAATACTGAGATCTCTTAAACAATAAGAAAAAATATAGTTCTGATCTAATGTGAACAGAAAAACAACGAAACCATGACAGACAACGGAAGCTATTTATGGGAACGTTATTTCACTTAGTTCAAAGTTTGTAAAATACTAACATTTAGTTTCACCTCTAGCTTACTCTATCAATCATAAGCTTTCTCTTGATGCATGATTCAATGCCTCATCCTTTTACACTAATTTGCATTGGGAAGTGGCGATCGGAAATAAACCGAGTAGTGTTCCTGGTGGAGTTTTGTTCTCTGAGCTGGATGGTTTGGTCGTGGAGCCTTCATCATTCTTCTCAACGACATCATTAACACAAACTTCAGGAACAAGTGGAGTGTTTGAATTTATCCACGTGAGACTCACAGCTTGTCCTGTAGACCTCAATCTTCATTGGTTATTCTTGAACGTTAACCTGTCATTGTTTACTTCTTTATTTTGATTGTATCTACCATTGATTTGATTCTTGGTCATATATTCGTGCATAATTTTTCTTTTTGGTTGACAAATTGGATCGATTTCATTGTGTTTGTTGATTGCTGATTCACCTGAGTGCCAAGTTTCTAAACATTCCCTGATATTTTTAGATTTGCCTCTATTCAAGATCTCAACATTTCGCCAGTCGAATGTATGACCACAGTTGTCCACATGTATTTATATAAGAGAGCATCTTTCATGGCGTTTGACCACTAATTGATGTTCATGAAGGTGAAGATGAAGGGGACGTCCACTTTGTCCGATGTGGCGTTTTTTGCAGTTGGAACAATTTATTTTGTAGATGATGTTTAGTTTTTCTTCTCTTGTCATTTCATCTTTTGGTTGATTAAAGTGATTTTGTTGGTTTGTGTGTCACACCTATTCCTAAAGGCTTCAACAATCTCGTAATTTATGATATGCATTTTATATATGGTAGGGGGTGATCCGTTTGCTGGTTTCTGTACTTGATTTCGTTTCTGCTGATGCATTCGGTTGATATATTTTGATGCTGATTCGGTAGCCGTAATTTTGCAATACTGCCTTTAGATATCTTTCTTCATTTTTCCTCGCCGTATTGAGAATTTGATCAGTGTGGGTCGGCTTCCGATATACCTGAGTCCCTAGTTTCCTGTATCGGCTCTAGTGATTAGTACTTCAAACAATGATAGTTTATTGTTTGACTCCTGTTCGATTGTCAACTGTCTGTCATCAAAGACGTTGTTGACCAAGTTGTAAGTGTTTTCCAGTTCATCCTTTTTATCGATGATGAATGTGTCGTCCACATAACGAACCCAAATTTTCGGGGGGGGGACTATTTTAATTTGACGTAATGGGATGCTTGGCAGACCACGCTAACGAAGACACTCGTGGAGAAAATACAGTTGTTCTCGAGTAGAAGTCTGCTATTTGGAGAAAGTCTCTTATTCCGATTGACTCGTATTCTCTCTCGCCTGTCGACCGACCACGTCATAAGATCGTTTTCATCTCTCCGCTCAAGACCATTAGTTTTAATTGGGACTCATACAATTCGAGCCTCGAGATAATACCAGTTAGCCTATCGTGTCAAGGTCTTAACCTAGATCGAGGCAAGTTCTCTGCAGTATAATTATTGGATAGACAGATCAAGGACGTAACACGAACAATGCTGAAATTACACTACGATTTTTCGAACAAAAACACGGAATATTATTAGGTACCTAAATAGCCTCTTCGATTTTTTATCAAGACCAGTGTCAAACAGAGAATATAAAATTGTAAAAACCCTCTTTCGTTTTCAGAAATTACAGACGATTATTGCTCAATAATAATAACAACAATAGATATCAGAATGAACATCATCGCAGATATTCCCCACTATCTTCTCCTAAAAATGTAAACTATTCTAATTAGCAACACGATTATACTTTACAAATCATGAATAATGTTTTAGTTACTAAAGAAATATTTTACTGTATTATATCTATTTCCATAAAGATCTAACGAAAGCGTTTGTGAAAATAGAATTTCTAATAGAAAGCAATTTTAACAGCTATAAAATTCATCATCGAAATCTTTAATAGTAAGTGTTTATGACGTCCAGACGTATTTGTTCTGAGTTCAATAAATTAGTTACCAATGAATAACTTTGCAATGACACATAGCTACAAGTGATGTGAATATGAACAAGTAGGACATGTTCAATCATTTCAGTTATTCTTTTCCAGCAATTTATTTCTGATAATCCTACACTGTACAAACAAATAGTGTTGACAGTGAATAAATGGAGGAGAGTAATTGTCAAATGATAACTGAAAATCATTTAATCGTTGTGAAAAACCAAGCTTTCTAAACTGGTCTCATGACAGATATTATCTTTGTAATATCTAGAAGTTATATTTCATCTCCTAAAAATGCGTTAAATTATTTCATTTCCAAAAAAAGTACCAAATGGAAGTGTAAAATGAACGGACTGTAAGGTGTTACACCATTTCTTGAAACTCTATTCGGTTTATGACTGCTAATATTCCATTATGGGGATTCAACTCATATTTTATACCAATTATAACTGATCTTAGGTTCTTATTACTGAATACACTTTAACAGTAGTAATATAAGTGAATTTTTCTTACATAGTTTGACTTATTGATAAAAATACGTTAAATATCCATACCTTACATCATTACCACCATGAGCAAATGATCCAAAAACAGCTGTTAAAATTTGTAAAGAAGAGAAAACTTGAGCTTCAGCAGGACGATCTTTAACTGAATCGATAGGATCTGGTTCCTATATCCAGAAGAATTAGTAAAAATTAAGTCAAGATTATATGAAGCAAAAATATTAACAATGCATTTCATGTGTTATACGTCACAATATACATGTTTAAAATTGGTTTGATCATTCATTGAAACAAATGATATCATGCAAAATACTTATTTGTAGAATAGTTCACATCACTTCATTTGAGCATGGTTTCATTTACATCCACATAAAATACACCAAGAAGATAACTCCTCAATCTAGAGTAATATCCACTTTCTGTTCATCGTTAGTTTAGAAAACAAACGATTCACAAATTCAAACGAAATAATCAGTACGATCCCTGAAGTTAGAAATTTCTAGACTTTCGTTCATCCCAAATACCGAAAAATTCCCATCATATTAAAACATAAATCAACAAAGAATATACAAATTAATAGTCCAAAAGGTGGCAAGGTTTGAGAAAAAATACATCGTTTAAAAATCATAGCATGTGAATTTAGAACTATTTGCAATAGGAAATAATTAGCATTTAAACAATGAGGAAGATATGTAATAAAAACGAATCTAATAACCACAGGTTACCTTGTAGCATCATGTATCTTTCACTGTATGATGGAGTGACACATATAAACTTGAGTCATAAACATAATCAGACTTGCAGCTGTACCAAAAATTAGTACGATAGACTTCTATAAACTATTAGGTGACAATAAACTGACCTGTGCATATTTAAATTTAACGTTACTGATCACAGTGTATTCATTTGTCGTTTTCATATATGTGCACTTGTTAATTATTTACGGTTAACTCCAAACATTTTTATGTATACCTGCCATATGCGTGTTTGTTGTCTCTGCTTTAATTGGTTATCATCTGTAATTCATGTATTACTCACTCTATATAAGGACAAAGTCATTCATTGTTCACCGAATAAACGTTTTCAGGTTCCCCTGTCAGAAATGTCCTAAATACAACTCAAATCCGAGTTTTCATGACTATGTGGTAATAAAGCGTTTAGTCGATAGAGTATATATGAAGTCAAGTAGGATATACATGTCACCAGGATCAGTATCGCTCAATCATAATGGAGTCATTTACAGGCACCTTGTAGGGCTCCGTGCAATGATCGAAACCACTGACTGGATAAACCACCTAGTTTTAATGATTCAATGTACCAACTTTGTTGGATGTTTATTTGTGCTAGCCTCGTGATGTCTCAACGAGAATAGTGAATGCTAACTGCTGGGATCCATTTATGGATTAATACTGCAAATACATTTATATTGTATAATTGTTAAGTAACTAAACTACACATATTCACGTTCCTCTTGTTAAAAACTTTATTTTGACCCATAAACTATTATTATACGATCTACCGTTCTTGAGTTATGCCAAGTCTATTAGTTACGGTCCCCCTTATTCACAGTCACATTTGGCTAGATCGTGTACAAATGTTATTTTCCATTTTACGGAGTGATGTGGTCTGTTTGGTTTGTATATGAACATGGTATGTTTGAAATACATGATTCGTATCGCGGAGGTTGAGATTGGTGTTCTCGACTCAACACGCAGGGCTAGACAGAGAGAAGGACAGATAAGAACTCTAGACTGCTCGTACTGGTTTATACGTCATTGGACAGGTCGATAAGTCACTGTTCTCTAATTCGCGGTGTCATTACGCCATATATTAATAGGGCACAAGACCACAAGATATAACATCTCTATATCGGTTATAACTTATTGGTTAATATACAGTAACCATTTAAGACTATCTAGTAATTTAATTAAGGTATATATATATATATATACCCAAAAACATAGTGGTAAAGGGAGATAAATACTAAATCACGATACTCACTTCACCAATTGTAGACAGGTTAGGAGGAAACGATACATTCATTTTACCATTCGTTAAATTATGACTACCATCCGTGATGGCATTTTGATCATTTGGTGAATAATCCAAAACCCTATTTAACTGATTTCTTTTATGAACTGTTTCATCAGGATTACTTGGTTTCACTTCGAAATCTATGCAGCATATGGAAAAAATGTAAAAACAAGGGAGCAGATATAAAAATCTCATACAAATAAGAATAAACTTAGACTTAAAATGATGCGACATGATTAAGTTTGGGAAAAATTAAGCTTTTCAAAACATGTTAATTATTGCAACGTATAACCAAAACAAATAGCAATAAAAACGGGTTGTTTACATTTATATACATTGATTCATAAACGTTTACTAGGTTCAGTGTAGTCTTAATAATAATAATAATAATAATAATAACATAAAGATTTCACTATGGATATAATCATGGAAAAAATTTATTTTATTTACACTATAAAATTATATTGATTTCTTGAGAAGCTAACTATATGCCAGTATATAAATCAGGCCAAATAAAACTTAGCAACATTTAATTTCATTGAAATATATGTTCTATAAAATAAGTGATAAACTTATAGCGATTTCACATGACGTCACTTTATTTTACTCTAAATAAAATGAAACCACTTATCATACATAGTTTAACCGTTTCTATGTAATCATTCCTAACAACATTCTATAGAGAATAAACATTTTATTCATTATATTCCTATTACTTATAAGTAAATTAACGAGTTAAATCATTAAGAGTACATAGGTATCATTACCAAGGTTTGATTTGATAATTTCGAATAAATTGAGCATTGGGTTGATTGTTATAAATAAATAATATATTTGTAATATCCCAATGAGTAGAAAATTAGATTTTCTGACGTTTCGTGACTTAGTGTAAGTCACTTTTTCCGTTGTTCCGTTGTACTATTTAAACTTGGATTAATTTTAATTTGGTTAGTTATTCTCTGAAGAAGTGACTTACACTAAGTAACGAAACGTCAGGAAATCTAATTTTCTACTCATTGGGATATTACTAATATATTATTTATTTATCATTAAGAGTACACATTAAATTTAATAATTAGTTTTAACGTATCAGTATTCTCAGAAGGGGTTTTGTGGAGATTCTAGTAATTTCAATGATTAAGATCATCAGACAGTTGAAGCCAGACCACCATGGAAAACCTGGAAGCACTGAACGGCCGTTTCGTCCTATTGTGGGACTCCTCAGCAGTGAGCATCCATGACCTCGCCCTTTGCGAGATTTGAACCCAGGACCTACTGGTTTCGCGCGCGAGCACTTAACCACTAGACCACTGAGCCGTTATCATTATTCTAATAAATAGAGTCCACTTCTATACAATCTCATTAAGTATACTTTTAGTTTAAAGAGATTTCATAATAAAAGTTAACGTGAAAGATCATGAATTCAATAACAGTTCATTTTTATAACATGTAGAAAAAACATCCACTTAATTAGTAGTGTGTAACACTTATACACAAATAGGAGATGATTTTTATCATTAACTGAAATCCATTAAAAAAACTAATAAACACAAGGCACAATCAAATATAAACAATTAGATTTCAGTTCATTAATTTAAAGTTAATGTGTTTGCATTAAAACGTGAAGATAATCATCATTTCTCTACATATTGTCATAGGTAAATCCCATGGCGAAGTTACAGACTAAAGAGATGATTTAACATTTTATCTCAATTTTTAATGAATTTTCATTTTAATAATATTTATGTAAAATATTTTTGAATACATATAACTAATGATTTCAGATAAAATTTAAACAGAAACTCTTAAATGATAAAAAAACAAATAAGTTGTTTTTTTAAAAAAGGTTAAGATTTGAAATATGTAATATGTTCCCTAATAATTGAAATTCAATATAACAACTAATTAAAATAAAATTTGGATACTGCTAATTATGGAGCAGATATAAAAATCTCATAAAAATAAGAATAAACTTAGACTGAAAATGATGCGATATGAAAGATTTTGGGAAGATTTAGATTTTGATCAGAATGCGATTTTTATGGAGACCATAGTAATTTTAATGGTTGAATTCATGGGTCAATCTAAGCTAGACTAGCATTGAAAACTTGAAACCGCTGGACGGCCGTCTCATACTATTATGGAGCTCCTCAGAAGTGCGCATCCATAAACCCACACACAAGACTCCAACCCAAGACCATCGGTCTCGCACACGAACACCTAACCTCTGGACCACTGAGCCGGTATCCAATGGTGTTAATGTCTAGCTTCCATCGATCCATGAAAATTCACAGAAAAATAATAATAATGGCCGGTGTTACTCACAAGAAATAGTCGGAAAAAAGTGTTTGACAGAAACATATACAATAAAATTGACGTATTCATAGTGTTACACTCAACAGCAAGTGTTCTAAATTAGGTCTACATTTTTGTAGAAACATTCCTTCTGTTCCAATATACGGTTTTTATACCATCAAACAGACTTTTTTTTACCGATGAAGAGAACTGTTTAACTAATTCCTTTTTAATTAACAACTGACATTGAAATTTTAAAACGATTACATAACAGTTAGGGAAACAGTACATAGGATGAGCAGTTGGTTTCTCTTCGTTTAATAATGTTGAATTCTACAGAACTTCGTTTCATTCAGGTTAAGTAATCGCCTTGTCTTAAAATTAATTATTTACACGCTTGAGAAATGTAGTTTACACTTAGAATGAAAACGTCACTGTTTTTAAACGAATTTAATCTACACAAAAATATTTCATTTTCTTTTATACTATCGATGTGACAAAGTAGATTGCGGCTTATTTATATCAGATATGGTTTAATTGACGAACAACTATAAGCATCTGTAAACAATTTTTATGTAAAGATATTTTATTTACTTAATTGAATATAAACATTTACACACGGAGGCACCAAATATATATGCATTACACTTCGTCATTTGATTTGTATGAGGGCTGGAATATGGCATGGTGGTGGTTTTCTTAGTGGGTCATCACACCCCGAGCCTTTCATCTAGAGGTCTAATCCACAGGGAAGTGGAGCAACATTAGGAGATGCAGTCCCATGGTAGCCAATGACAAACGATTGGTTCATACCCCGTTTGTACCCTTAGGATACTGGAGCCCATGTGTGTCATTGCTTTAAAATCAGGGTTCTCCATCTCGCCTAGGTGCATCCTCCATATCCACCAACCCGGTTAAAGCTCTGGACAATCGCCATTCGCTCTCTCAATTTCGTAAACAACATCACCACCTCGATAAGGCAGTGAGTAGGAATTCCCTGGCCATATGAAAGCACTTCGAAAGGGTGGATTGTTTGTTATATTTACCGTTATTTGAAACATTATATATAGATATTTAACACTTATCATCATGTGATATCTACATGTTAGAATTAATTTTATTGATGACTTTTCTGATAACTTGTATACTTGTTTTATTTTTAGATTAATATCAATGTCTATACGTTGTTAGAACCTGAGGAGAATCGACAATATAAATGAATTTATGTAGTTCTGTTACAATCTTTGTCCGTACTTTATAAAAAGCTATAAATGGGGAAATTATATGAAATAACGCAGTAAATTTCACGCTTGTGGTAAAATTGTGAATTAAAGTTGACAGTTTTCGATAAACACTTAACAAAAAGGAATGACGATATTTAGAAAGTATTCAAATATGGATATATATATGTCTGTAAGTGAGCATAGTCGTGGAGCCCCATACTACGATTAAAGAAATGTTCGGCACCCTTTGGTTACTAATGGTATACTCACTGAGGTCAGTCTGTGACAAACTCAACCTTAAAATTAAACCAATCACCATAAGACCCACTCAGTATTACTTTCGTTTCCATTGATATTATAATTATGATCATGTAGGCAAGTTACTTATTATTCTATCCAATCCCAAACATACTTTTACAATTATTGAGTGATTTTCACTAACCCAATTGTTCAAACTTATGTAAATCCTTTACGGTTTCTTACAACTGTTACACAGCCCATTTTAGCAAGCTTTTTTCTTCGTATTTTTCTACACTGATCCTCAGGTGGGCTTTCCAACATGTATCTATAGAAAAAATCAATGATAACACCCCATTTCAGCCCTTTGTTTGTGTGGTATTACTATTCTTATAACTTAATACAATCGTAAATGAATAGAATCCATGAAATACTATATTCATATATTTCTGTCTTAACTAACAGTCTGATGTTATCCGAATTCATAAGGAAAGTAATAATACATTATTGTCATAGACAGTAACAATTTTAACTTACCAAATAGTGCTTTACAAAGTATATATAACTATATATCTGCATCTAATCTCCAAGAGATTTTAAACATCAAAAGAATTAAGAATCTTGTGTCAATGCAAACTTGGGGATAACGCAAGTGAGGCTTTATTTTACAAAACAAAACTTACGACTTGAAACTTTATTTTGATTTTCTAATCCCTGCAATACACCATTATTTTCACTAGTAAATCGTCCAAGTTTGTCCTTGTCATCTGTATTTCCTCTAGCAACATTGTTTCGAAATCCAACCACAGCCTCTCCATCTGCGTGAAGGACATACGTATCCATATCAATCGATTCATGATTACTGCTTGAAACTTTGGAAGATTTATTATCCTCAACAGATTGATACTTATCGTCTACAGCGACAGACAATTTCTTTTTGCTCTTACGGGAAAAATAGCCTTTTAAAATATGTCCACTCGATTCTCCAGCTATAAAAATGCATGAACACTGAATTAGCCGAATGTTTTAGTCAATGCAAAAATTACATACAATCTGTAAATTGATGTAAGCGAATCTACAGCGTCAATGAAGCACAATTACATTTTACTCCATTTATCACACATTAAAGAAAAATCGAAACAGATTTATTACCGTGTTTTAGTCAGGTTTCATTTTTGTAAAATTAAAACAAACTCAATCGAGTTAGCTTTTGTACACAGCTCCGTAAGAATTTAAAGTCATAAAACTGAAATTGAAACATGAAGTCATAAAGCTGTTTAATTCTTTCTTGCTTCCGAAATATTTTAACTGTTGATTCGAAAAGACCTCTTAAACGTATACACATGTATAGATCGGATTATAAAATAACAGATCTATAAGAAGTCATTCCTTATATGGATTATTGTCAGCTGAACGCAGGCAAGCAGAAGATAATATCTGTTATCACCTAAAATCCTAAGATTTTAATCTCAAAGTAAACTATTTTTGACCAACAGTTAAGTTCATTTGATCTTAATCTGCGATAATTAGGTTTCTCCTTAGAAACGTATTTAACCATTTGAACAGGATAGTTCTGCACTGCTGTTACATCAATTTATTTATTTCCTTGTTTGAATATCACCTTAACTTTACAACTACCATACGACCTACTATCCACATGCAGTATAACGTTTTATATTTCTGTTATAATTTCTGCGGAAATACATTTATTCAATGAAATGATTATTCACAATGATCCCGTGATTTAGCTGACCTCAATCAATAGTCAAAGTGATATAATCTAATCCAGAAGGATGGACATTTATACCACTGAACTACGTTAAGTCATCAGATTTATTAATGATAAACCAAGGTACACAAAAAGTACAGGAGATTCTCTAGTTTTCTCACTAGGACTCTCCAATCATTTATCATAAAAGTAAAAATCAGTTTCCGTAATCGACAAAGATAAGGGTCAAATGTTCAAGGATAGAGGAATTGAGTAGGAAAAACAATAAACCCACAATATAAGTGGTTACGAGTTACATTTATACTTTCTCGACGAAACTAACTGGTCAAGAAAACAGAAGCTTAATTACTTTTCTGAAAAAATCCCATTTGATGATATAAATTCATATTTATTCTGGTTATTAGCTTCTCAATAAATAAAGTGTGGTATTCGTCACTTAATCCATTCTCTATCTGTTTGTCACAACAAACAATGACTTATTTGAAATGGAGGACGTCAGATGAGATTCAGCTTTCTTTGATTCGTCCGCTCATCCGCTTATGACGTTAGTGATTGTGAAGTCATATACACTATAAATAAACTGTCCTGTCTAGCTAGTTAAATTGCTAAACAAGGAAAATCAATGATTATTGTTTACGAGCATCAAAACGCTTAAGCAGTTATCAATAAAAGAAACATCTGGAGAAAACTCTTAACACTAAGTTATCTCGTTGATACAGATGCCGAAAACTCAGAAGTTAATAGAGGGAAACTTCGCATAAACCTTGAATCTTCAGTGGTATGCATTCGCAATCTCACTATAATCAAAACACGCGAATCACATTTGGTGACTGGAATATATAATTGCATAATTCAACACAGTTTACTCTCTGTCCATTTACGGTAAGCTAAATCTTACAGTCACAATAGAATACATCAGATTACTAGGGTAACAACTTACTTAAAATATGTCGACGAACCAAAGGTACCCAAACAAACTTCACAAGTAGGACAGTGATAATACCTAAACCACAGCTAATTATAAATATTCCATAAAGAGGTATTCTATCGAATTTCAGCACTACAAAAGAGGAGAAACAAGCATGTATATGTGTAGTTTAGATCGAGTTAGTTGATAATCAACTGTTCATACAAATGTAAGTAGATTGGAGACTGGAAAAAATACACAAAAATATAAAGTAATTAATTACATCCATAATTATTTCAAATATCAACATATTTTGAACAACAATTTAATTATTATATATGAGAAAAGCAGTTATTATAGTAATCTAGACGGAAATATACAATTAGTATGAAAAACATACAATATTTATATTAAATAAAGTTGATTGAAATAGTAAAATGATTATATCATGTTTATTGTATACATTGTAATGGATGCATATATATTTGGTGCCTTGTGTGGCGCATATATATTTGGTGCCCCCCTGTACCAATATTTATGTGTTCAAATAAATAAATAAAATAAAATTATTCAAACTTATGTAGAAATATAATCTGGAATATTTATCAAATACCAACATACACAGCAATCCAAAAATTGAGTAGGATTAGACGTATAAACCAAGAGATAAACAAAAGGGAACAATCTAACTGCAATACCCTAAATTTATGTACTAAACCTCTATATGAAATTATACAGGTTATTTAATTCAGTAAAGTAAAATGTTTCCAAATTATTTGTTAAACAATAAGAATCAACCGACTTCCGTCCATGTCTTCTTTCGTAACTTATTGCCGCGATGTTAATACGCTGGTCAATATCACGGAGGATAAACACTTACAACTTAAAATTTCAAAAATTCCCATATTGTAAATTTAGAACAAAATATATAAGCGAACAATATTGTTTTCGATTAGATCCTCATCCAAGCAAGTATCTGATCGAAAACAATATTGTTCGCTTATATATGTTGTTAAATACTTACAGCGTAGTTGTAATATTCCAATACAGTCGTTGTCAAATTCAATGGGAAAAAAACAAACACAACGTAGGTAAAATCCGAATTAACAAAAGTAAGGAAGTGAAATACGGTGATAATTTGTTTTTTAAACTTTGAAAACAGATAAAGAGAAAACGTAAATAGAAACCTTTTGTCAATAAAAAAATTGACAAACTTAGTTTAAAAGAACATAGCCGATATTATTGTTATTTATCCAAGTACTTGTTTGTGTGGATAAACATGACATTAAGATCAATCGACTTTGAAATACCATACAATAATATACGTCAGTAGACTAAAATCCGATGACGGTTTATTCATGACATTAGATTATGTTTTCCTTCATAATATGCAACATTTTATACTTAACTATAAATAAGTTATAATTTAATTGTAAATATTCTATTATTCAGTTATTTGATAAGAAAGTTTAGTACGTATAAAGAAAATTTTCAATGGTTGTACAATTATGGCATTATTAGCGAGATTTTCCATTCCTCAAACCAATTCAATTAATTGATAGCTCACCGTAAAACAAATATCCTTGAGCATAACAACCATGATCTTCTTATCAAAGGCACTGATGCGCGTTTATTTCCCTTTAGAACTCTATTGCTCAATGTAACCGAATCCCAGTGTTGGTCTTTTACTCGACAACTCAAACCCACTTCTACCTGCTTCAAACGCCGCACGAGTTATCCACTGAACTACTGAGTCTAGAGTCACACACAGTTGTGGTGCAACAGATATGATGTTTACGTCAAAACCCAATCTTATAATGAAATAAATATGACCTGTATTATTACTAAACAATGGAGCAGTAAAAGATGTTGACTATCGCTTTAATGCGTCTCAGAACCAAACAATATCGTCTTCTTAACTAAATCAAAGACTGTCATAAACAATAGGTTTTCTGCAAATTGCAATAGCGAATACTTTCAATCAACAAATAACGTTCATGTTCACTTTAATTATTTACTAAGGTGAGTTGACAACACTGTGACAAAAATTAAAGCACACTAATAGGTATAATACTCCATTCAACATATATACTTTGCTGACTTTCATATAAATATCGAAGAAACATTAAAAATATTTTCGCTTGCATCACAGCCAACACTATAAACTATCAGATAACTGAAAAGTATACTTGTCAGAGCGATTCTAGATTAATTTATTATTCTTACTATACCAGTCACATAGTTGAATTTGGTGCATCTAAATCAATAATTATATAAACACTAAACCGATCCACTATACAGAAACTTCATTGGAATGGATAAAAGCATTGAAAAAGAAACTAGTTAGCTTATCTCAGTCAAATGAATTTCGTGTTAGATTTAACCAAAATATCCAGAAAGCTACCATCATATAAGTTCTGTAGTTCATTTTAGTAACAATCCACATTATAAAAATATCCGAGAAATACACCAATAATTATTTTTATCACTGATAAATCATCAAACAATTTCAACAGTTAAATAAATATCTATTACAACAAACGCAACAACTGTCGTTTTAATGGAAATATCGATGACAATTTACAGCTAACGTACATGAAGGTCCTTCGTAAAATATTGAAAAACTATTGACCAGAACCACTGTTCCGAAAAAACCGGGGATAAGTCTAAGTGCAGGTTCAAGAGGATCTTCCTGTAAAACAAATAAATAATTACATAGACAACGTTAAACACTCCAAGATACTTTGTACCACAGATAATAGAATACATCTATAAATATTTACAATATCCTCTTACAATAGTAAGTTTAGAATTCGATAGACAAATAACAAAAACACTTTAATTTTTAAAAAAACAATTACGGGCATGTTAATAAATCGTTTGTAATGAATAAAAACACTTTCTAGTATGTACAGTGATTTAGTAAATAAACTTTTTGATTTATTTATTCATTTTAGCGTTTACAATGCACAAAATTACAAATGTATTTACACGTTGTGCTATTCATCAGCGGTCAACTAAAACGATTTCACTTGAAATTAAGAATAACCTTTTACGAATGAATAAATAAACACATCTCTAAGATTAAAATTAAACTTTACTGTACACATATATGCACGGTCTCATTAATACAAGGTTACATGAAAGTAACATAAACGTTACAGGTTTTACAACTTGGTTCATATTCATGGCTCGTTTCGATTACAACGTAACATCCGACAGGAATACTTTAATTACACGGTAGGAATGTTTAGAAAGTTACATAAAGTATAACGCAGTCCATTGCATTGTTTAGATTTCAGTAATCTATATTATTGAGCAGTCACTATGATTTTACGATGATAGTTGTTGAATGGGGTGGTTTGAATATTAAAACGAACTGTTGATCAGTTAATAAAACTTATTAGAAAATTAAGGATACTCATAACTTTTATCTTCATAAGTAGGAATTCTTCTAGTTGTACACAATGGCACTTACAATATGACGGAGGAGTATTTTTACCGTTTAAAGAATTATTCGATACCTGGTGTGAACCTCTCATAACCACGAAGAAACATAATTTAGAAAAGAAGGGGTTATGAATAAGGCTTATGTATGTACTTTCACAGAAGCAGTTAACCTGATTTAAACACGTTGACAAACAAATTATTGACAAATCGGTCCTAACATTAGCAATTATATTCATAACCATAATATCTGGTCAAATATAAACAGTAATTAACACAGTGAGAAGAAACGATCTAGAAATATTCCCTTTTGATATGAATAATTGTAAAGCTTGTTTTATGAAATATTCACTCACTTGCCAGTTTATTAATCGAATAAAATGTTAAAATACTAGCGGTATATTTTTTATGGATTTATTTTGTGTTTCAAATATTGTTTATGTTCAAATAAAGACAGCACATCACGCACTAGACTATCGATTAATGAACAATTGATTTAGAAACATTCGAGAGACATAGAAATACAATTTTAATGAGCTTTAGTTCAGTATTAGTCACTCGAAGATTAATCATGTTCCAAATGGTTTGGAATAAGATGGCTATAATTATTGTGTGCAATTAATTAGCATGTTAGATGTACAAGCCAGTAGTTCACAATAACAGTACAAATTTCTGTCCATACAGTAAGACAGTCCCTTTAACAGTTAGAAACCAAGATATTATTTTGAAATCAACTTTATCATTAACTGATTTTACTTAAAACATGACTGAAAACTGCCACAGAATTATTGCTGACTGTTTTGGCCAAATTTACAACTTTTCAGTAGCACACATTCACAAATTCACACGTTATCAAGCTAGGGTCTCGCGGCAACTTTGATGACAATAAGTCCCTGCAGGAGATCCCCACGTCGGTATGGTGATCGAGTTCACCTATCGTAATGACCCAACAGAAGAATATTAACGGGAACGCTCGTTTCTCTTACGGCCAACTACGCGAGACGGTTCAGTTGAAGAAAGTTATACTGAAAATTGTACTGGAATATAATGGTAACAACCAGAATATCCAGAGATCACCTCCTTCCACAATAGAACGTAGGGGTTAGGGAAGATCGGTTACAAATATGTAACGCTTTATCTTGTCTCAAAGATTTCTGTCTTAGAAGGTAATGCCTTTTAAAGTACAGAGCTAACATATTAAAAATCCTCATGAAAAGATCACGTGTAACCGGCCTCAAGCAATTATCGCTTAGGCTATACAGTCACTTTGCTAAATTGTGTAGCTATTTCATTTAATACAAAAGCAAAACGAGGTCTTCTGAACTGCACATGTGCTTGCCTGCTGTCCATTTGAACGGTATCGTATGAACCCATTACGACAAAGATAAACACCATTATATTCTTTCAGTCTCTGACGGCGCTACAACCAATTGCAGTTCGGAAAAAGAAAAAAGATCAATTTTACAAAAATATTCCTGACTTTCATAAGTCTAAAAATGCCCAAACTTTATAATCATGATAAGGGATTTTTGTATCCGATTGGGTAAGCTGAACCAAATTGAAAGATACTTTGATGGGTCCTTTGGTATTCCAGCTGACGGACACACCGTGCAGGTTGTCTGCTGCAACTGCATCCAGACAACTACTTATTTCTGAAAAGCATTAACTTTAGGCATAAATAGAAACGTTGTCTATCGTAGCGACCAGCAAAGCCAACTCAAATACGGACTCAAGTAAACCGTATAGTCATCAGTGCAAAATTTGCACGTAATGGCGTCTGATCTAACAGATCTGTATTGACGGCTGATCGTATTACTTAAGAAGGAAGGACAGAAATCCTCTTGTGATAACCACAGAGCGATTGCTTTGATCAGTATTGTCTAAAATAGCCGTCTATAAAATAACCCAACACTTAAGTAAGCGTAGTGAACAGCAAGTCTTGGAAAGTCAGGATGGTTCCAGATCAAGGTGTGAATCCACCGATCAAATATTCACCCTTTTACAGAACGTAAGCATACTAACCAACGCCTCATAAATATATTATTCTTTGATGCGACGGTAGTATTTGACTCTATTGATCCAGAGGTTTTCTGAAAGTATTTACCATCAAAAGCTACGTCGAAAATTGAGGGTTCTTTACTAGGACACTATTAGTCATCTCGGCGTTTAAAGAGAACGGAAACCAGTAATAGAATGATCAAGTGGTACTTGATAGAATTGATTCCCTACCAGGAGATCCACTTACTGACTTAGGATACACAAATTACATAATTCTATTTACAGTTTTCTGAGTGCCTTGAGGAACATTCTAATCACTCTTGAGAAACGTTGTCTTTTGTCGAATCGCATCACCTACAACATAGGTAAGATGTTCATATGTCAAACAAAGGAAGGGTAAAAGGCCTGGAAATTTGTTCTACCTGATTTTGTATCTGGGATACAGGCCTTTAAAAGAAAACATTTGTAGATTACTAGTATTTAATCATAGGATTCTTTGAACCATTGCTTTCGTATGTTGGTACGTAAGTTGGTAGGTAAAGATAGAAAATCGTCCAATAAAAGTGTGAATCTTCAACGACTGAGGTAGCTAGAACGTATGCTATGCACGTTCAGCCAACTCGATACTTGGTGTTTCCTGGAGTACAAGTAGGTTGGAAGAAAGCTTTGGGTGACCAAACCAAGATCAATACATGAAGTCACTGACTGTTGGTTTGAGTCATTCAGGTAGATGCAAACCACCTGGTTGGAACCCACATAATTATTCAAACTAATGATTGGACACATTAGAAGACAGGGATTACAGTAGGTCACAATAGCTATGATCAATCTACTATTTAAGATTCTCTAGATCTCGGTCCTCTAAATTTCTCGACATCCTTTCAGATACAAATCTATTATTTGTTCTCTAATAGTATTCTTTATGTATGATCTATTTTACCGTCGCTGATGCTACTACCTCTAATCGATTGGTAATAATGTAGTATAGCAACTTCAGTCAATATACTTAAGTACCAGGTTCTACATTGCACATAACTGACCGGTTGATTTACAGGGTCACAATCAAGGTTTCCAACAGTTAATTGTGGACTGACAGATATTTACCCATTGTCAATGGTTAGATCTTGGTCTACTTCTGACGCGCTTGGGTTCCAAAATCAAGTCTTCCCATCTGAACTCTAGGAAATCTGGTAAAGACTGGTAACTCGGCAAGACTATAATTTATGGCCGAACCAATCAGGTATAAGATGACAGGTCTTGGAATTTGGCACAGAATTCACTCATCCATTTGGCTAAATAGCGTATTGGCATTAAAGCTGATGTCAGTTCGTGATGAAAACCTTAAATCTAATCCCTAACTTTAACCATCAACTGTAAATCATCATTCTAATTCATCACACTGGTTTACAACTCTAATTTGGTTCTAGATATTAGGTGGACACTCTCAAGGTCACTTTAATGTCGCTCAAAAGTAGTCCATAAATTATAGTCACACCGGTAACTCTATTAAACTTTGAACATCCATAAGCTCTTAATGTAATACTGTAAACAAAATAGATAGATAATTTGCATTTTTGTTTTCAATATCTGATCTGAGGTTTGTGTTAGAATTCAAATGTTTGGAGATCATATTGTAAACAAAATTCTAATCAAAACAGAATAAAGCTGCTTTATTTTCTTTTAAAAAGAAAGTGAAAATGGACTTTACAAAGTCAATTATAGGTTTACCATTTATAAATATATATGACCATTATTTAGAAAAAAATAAAATAAAACACAAAGAGTGAAGAGAATTTGATCATAGTTGGATGAAGGTTTATGTCCAAGTAAAGTAACGTAGTTAAAAAAAAATATTCACCCCTATTAGAGTTGATTTATATAAAGACTGCACTAATTATTTAGTAAGTATAATATTGGCACAATTATTTTACTGTTGATAATGAGTGCATTAGTTGGCAAAGATATGGTAACTTTGATTATCAGAAATGTTATAAATTATTAGACAGATAGATGTATCAGTAACTATTAAAAAAATATGTATATCAGTCATTATTCAGTATGATATAATTAACCATGGATAATCCTGAGAAGTTCATGAATGTTGTATAGTTAGTGAACTTCACCGAATTTTATTAACTTTGATCAGTAATTCCGTTCATCGATTCACATAATCACTTAAGTTCATATTTGTTCGTAAGGTATATAATAAAGTGATCGACTGATTTCATAATATCACCGAGTTATTTT